AACAATACCTCAGGACATTCGTCAACTTCCAGCAGGACGACTGGGTTGAACTGTTACCAGCGGCCCAGCTTGCATACAACACGACACCAACGGAGACCACGAAGGTTACACCCTTCTTCGCGAACTTTGGGTACGAAGCAGATTTGCGCCAGGGACCAGACGTTACGGTTCCCCGGGCAAAGGTCAAGGCAGAGAAGATGCATGCGCTACACGCGATGCTAAAGAACTCGAGTTCGTCAGACTCAGGATGAAAGAGTACTACGACAAGAACCGGCTCGAGGGACCTCGCCTTAGGAGAGGAGACAAGGTCTACCTCATTTCACGGAATCTCAAAACGAAACGACCAAGTCAAAAACTCGACTTCAAGAAAATTGGACCATTCAAGATCGAACAGAAGATTTCGACTTCCAACTATCGACTTTCACTACCACCGACGATGAAGTTACGAACAAACGTTTTTCATATTTCACTTCTCGAACCAGCGCCAAAGAACGCACGACTTGCAACAAGCATTGTGGCTGAAGACGAAGAAGAAGAATGGGACGTCGAAGAAATACTGGACTCGAGAATCGCCAATGGAGGGCTTGAGTACCTGATCAAGTGGCTCGACTTTGGGCCAGAAGACAACTCTTGGGAACCGGCAGGACATCTGAACTGTCCAGAGAAACTGGAAGAGTTCCATCGACGCAACCCAGACAGGCCGCGAGAAGGGTCAGCAAGGAGCAAAGAAAAAAATTCATGCTCCGCCGCGGCAGTCGGCGTCAGTGACACCCGTCGCCGTGGAGGAAGACACGAAGGACCCAGGAAGGAATCGAACCCCCAACCTCTCGAGCAGGACTCGAGTGCATTACCACTCAGCTACTGAGTCATTTTTCATTCGCCAGACAGGGAAGTACCAGACGATATTGGAAACCCAAGGAAGGAAACACTCGTTTTGAACACAATGCTATAAACACACAAGGAAGGTGCAACCAGGACTCAACCACCAGTCATGAACCCCCACTATCCTGTGAAGACTGAAGAGTTCCATCGGAACTCTGGTCAGCCAAAAACGACGGGATGCCGCCAGCAGCGGACGGGTCAACAGCGAGAGTCGGATCCGACAACCAATCCAACCCCGCTAAATCAACCGAAGGAACCACCCGCGGAATCCAACAGGGAGGGGTCAAAAGGAGACAAGGTGGTCGGGGGAGCGGACGAAGCCCCCGCCCCTGGCGCACCAGAGGAAGCTGCGGCACGTTCGGCGGCCTCCTCCTCCTCCAGCAAGCGCGACTCACGACGAAAAGCAGCAAGGGCTTTCGCCTCAAGTGCGCGCGACTGTTGCTCCAGACGGGCCAGTTTGCTCTGGTTCGCAAACAACTCTTTTAGGGTTGCTTGCCTCTCCGCGTCCAGACGTTCCTTCTCCTTGATAAAAGGACGGACTGAGGCAAGTCAGCAGAAGCAGAGGTGTCAGGGCATATGAACTCACGATCCACGCCGTGGACGTCGCAATGAGGCCGACCCGCCTTCACGCAGGGCAAGCAACGGTCGTACCGATCAGAGGCGACGCACTCCGACTTATTTTCATAACAAAAGGAGCAGGAAGGCATGATGGAACCAAATCGCTCAAGGAAGCGCACTTGGTCGTGGCGGCGAGCGGTACTCGTTCGTTTTCTCTTCTTCACACGGTCAGCCATGACGGCAACAGGAGGGCAAGGAGAAGTTTACCAAGACAAGGGACCAGAGGTAGGGAGGAGTGTTGGTTATTTCAAGAACGTTGGTCGCCGGGACGTCGACCTTGAAGGAGGGGCATCGTGTCACGAATTCACCAA